CCCATGGCTTCTTGCCCACCCAGGGAGCCGATGGCGAACAGCTTGCCGCGGCACGAGGTGGTGGAGCAGTTGTCCATGGGGTAGAGCATGGGCTGCAGAGCCTCCCAGCTGTCCACCGAGTGGTCGTAGCGCTCCGTGCTGTCCGAGGCGATGACGTAGAGCAGCCCGTCCAGGACCGTGGAGCTGTGGTACTCCCTGGCTTTCAGCATGGGAGACACCTCCGTCCACTCGTTGACGCTGGAGTTGTACCTCCAGACGCAGTCGTACAGCCTCGACCCGTCCGATCCCCCTGCGGCACAGCACGGCACGGTTCAGCGGGGGGTTCGCAAGGGCAGCGCTACGGGGCGATGGAGGAGAGGGCTTGGCTCGGGACCGGGATCTTTGCCGTCTCTTCCAGCTGCACCTTCTCATCGCCCCCCAAGCTTTTTGCTGCCCAGGGCCACACGCTACGAAAATGTTTTGGCACTAGGGGACCACAGCAGCGCGCGCCGGGAGGAATTTAATGGAAGCTTTGCACTGTTTCTTCCCCCGCAAGCCAGGAAGGATTTCTGCCACGTCCTAGTCTGCACTCAGCCACAACTCAAAGCAAGTCTCCCAGATTTGACTACCTCCATCCTTCCAGATAACCGTTTTCTTCCCCATTTTGCAACCCCTGCTCCATCGCCATCCAGCAGCTGCTGTGACGTAGCAGAGACTAACGCTCGCCAGCGCCGGGCTGCCAAAGCAGCACCGAGACCTTCCAACCCTCCCCGCTGCCCGTGCTACGTCGCTGACGCTAAGCAGAAACCGAAGACCCCACCAGCGGCGGCCTCGCCGAAGCTCGGGGCTCTCGGCAGTATCGGCGCCCCCGGCCCCGCCTGGGACGGCTCCGGGAAGCTCCCATGGGAGGTCAGGGCGTCACACAAACGAGGCAGGGCCGTCGTTTTCACAGCTCTGCCCCTGAAGCAGAGCCGCGCTTTCCGCTCCTGACTAGAGAACGAACAGTTCTGTGTTCACCCGCGTTCGACCTGCCCTTCGAGTCTGTGTCAGCGCGTCCTGCACGCCCAGAGCAAGCTGGTCTGCAGCGCCTGGCTGCCCAGGCCCTGGTTCATCACGGCTGCCGCAGGGCGGCCGCTCCAGCTACAGGGACGTAGCTCAAAGGAGGCATCTCCGTACAGATTAACAGCCAAATTTACACACCCGTGTCACCTTGAGAGAAGTAATTATAGCCCCAGCGGACTGCGAGGAGGCAGGATTCGTGCTGAGGAAGGTACTGTGACTCATCGGGACTGGCTGGCTGAGGAACTGGGGGCTTTCTGACACGCCTCTGCCTGGAGCACGCCCTTGGCTTGTGATTCACGGGGCTCTGAACCCAAACACCTTCTTCACAGCCAGAAATCCAAAACCCTCTCAAGTCGCCCCTGTCCCCCAGAGCGGGCGGTTAGAAAGTTCCACCAGTGCAAGATCTGTGACTTCTGCCCACGTGCTCAGGAGCATTAGTCATGACAAAATACCTCCTGGACTGAGACCAGCTGCTAAATCCAGCACTGACTCCAGGAATCCCTACGCCTGTCTTCAGGCTGCAGCCACACTGAGCCCGAGCGGAGTTTCAGACTCTGCTACTCTGAGACACGCCAAGCCTCGCTGCTGGAACCCACGGGATTTCAAGGGAAACCTCAACACCGGCGCGTTCGTGCCCCCGTGCCTTACCGGTGACGTAGATGTCGTTGCCCAGCGCGGCGACGCTGTAGCCCCCGCCCAGGTGCTCGGGGAACTCGGCCAGGTAGCGCCAGTGGCCAGTGCGTGGGTTGTAGCAGTCGACGGTGACGAGCTCATC